GAGGGAAAGGCAGGCAGGTAGGGGTCTCTCTCTCTCTGTATGTGTGTGTTTGTGTGTGTGTGTGTGTGTGTGTGTGTGTGTGTGTGTGTGTGTGTGTGTGTGTTGGGCAGTGACATACCATAGCATAAGTAAGTAAAAGTCTGAAGCAAGTTCTTATTTGTCACTAAGGAACTAAAGTCACTGTAGTAACTAGTCTCTAGCAATTTTCGTTCCCACCAGGAACACAAGGCCATTGATAGGAGGCTGTATCGGCTCCAGGGACAGTATAGCCTTAGATTTAGGCATCCGGGTCTTCATACATTGTTCTTGGAAGGTAGGATTTCAAACTCCCTAGCAGTGGTCACATTGTATAAGAAAATATAAACCTGCCAGGTATGGGTGGTCCATGCCTTTAAGCCCATCTCTTGGGAGGGAGAGGCAGGTGGATCTCTGTGAGTTCGAGGCCAGCCTGGTCTACAGAGTGAGTTCCAGGACAGGCTCCAAAGCTACAGAGAAAAACCCTGTCTCAAAAAACCAAAAAGAAATATATGTCCAACTGGAAAAGAAGAACAGGGTATTACCCTTGGAAACATGCAGGTGCTCCAGGAGGGCACACCTCCAATGTAGACCCTGCAGAGATGGCTGTTGCTGGGTGCAGAGAAAAGCAAGTTAGTCAGGAGTTGGAAAGGATTGAGGCTGTTTTTGAGGCACATGTGGTTTTTCTATACTTTGTCGGCTTTTGGATCTGGTTGAAAGTTTACAAAGTAAAGATAATCTGGAATGATTAAACTAACATCATGGTCACCCAGTTGGTGGAATGCTAGCTAGTCAGTGGCAATGCCTGGAAGACAGACTTTTGGTAACGCATGCAGCAACTCCTGGTGGGATTGCTGTTCTTTGCTTTTCCTTGCTTACAGCAATGGTTCCGTGCAAAATCCCAGCTAGGAAAAGCTCTGACTAGGAAAAGGGATGGAGGGCTTTGAGCATATGCTGGGGTACTTCGGTACTTGCTGGGTTGATGGATCATGGTCATTGTGGCTGTTCTCTGCTGTGCTGCTCTGTCACCCGGTGTAAGCATGACACCTGTGCCTCCCTCTCTCAGGTCTGGAGCCTGGCTCTGTAGTCATCACGCAGCAGGCAGTGGATGAGTGCTTCAAGCCGGAGTTTGAGCAGATTGTCCTGGGGAAGCGGGTGGTCCGCAGCACCAGCCTGGATGCACGGCTGGTGCAGGAACTGCTGCAGTGCTCCTCGGACCTGAATGAGTTCCCCACGGTTGTGGGCAACACCATGTGCACCCTGGACTTCTATGAGGGTGAGAAGAAGTGAGGGTGTGGCGGGTCCAGGGACCACTTGCCCACCCCAAGTGCACTTTGTGATGGTGTGGTGCTGTCTCTGGTGGGGCACCTTCATGTGGGCTGCTAACCCAGTCACAGTATTTATAATAATTATTGGAGCAGCTGTCTACCCCTTGAAGACAGGCAGGGACTGGGGGCCAGGCGGGGGGGGGACGGGACTCTGTATCCCTGTGTCCTGATGGCATTTATAGCATGGTGCCCAAGTGTAGGCTCTGACTGTGTGCGTATGGTTCTCCCATCATCGTGTGCTGCAGGGCAAGGCCGTCTGGATGGTGCCCTCTGCTCCTACACAGAGAAGGACAAGCAGGTCTATCTGCAGGCAGCCCATGCCGCGGGAGTCCGAAACATCGAGATGGAGTCTTCGTTGTTTGCCACCATGTGCAGTGCCTGTGGCCTGAGAGGTAGGAAGATGCGGGATGGCCTCGGGGTCCTTTCCCTGGCTCTTTCACTGGCCCATCACAGAAGGCCCCTCCTGGGATCGCAGCAATGTTGATTTCTCACTTGTGTCTGCCGTGGTCAGCTTTTGGCCAAGGTGTCATCCCTGTAGCCCTGGTACACATACCATGTCTTCATTGTCACACAGCAAAACACTACTGGATCCTCAGTGTTCTTGCAGCGATTTCCCAGCCCCTTGAGAAGGGTAACAAAGATGGTGATGAGCTATTCCAGCTCAGATAGAAAGTAGCTACCCCAGCCCTGCCAAGAACGTGGCTTTCTGAAGACTAACCCACCCTATTGTCTAGACCTGAGCATCCTTCCCATTGAACATTACCTCTCAGAACTGTCTGTGTCCCACGGTCTGGGACAACATATGTCCTGCAGGGCTGCATGGGGCAGCCAGGAGCTGGCCCTGGGACTGGCTGGAATTTCTTTTGGCAACAAAGGCAAAGGCCATAGGTTAGAGTGGGGAACTGCCAGAGTTGCCTGAGGGTGTGTCTTCCTCTATGATGTCCCATGCCATCCACACAGCCCTCCCTTCCATCCCTGGCCTGCACCCTGCACTCCCTGGACCTGGCCCTCCAACTTGGGTTGCTAAGGAAGGTGTCTGACCCTGCCTTGATGAGACATTTGCTCTTTGCAGCGGCTGTGGTGTGTGTGACCCTTCTGGACCGACTGCGAGGGGACCAGATCAACACCCCCCATGATGTGCTGGTGGAATACCAGCAGAGACCTCAGCGACTGGTGAGCCACTTCATCAAGAAGAGCCTGGGGAGGATCTGAGGCTCTTGTCCTTGACACTCAGAACAAGCCTCTGCAACTACTGGCCAATAAATCTATTTTTCATATCCCATTGTGTGGCTTGATGTCTGCTTTATAGAAGAACACATGGGCTGGGCAGTGGTGGCGCATGCCTTTAATCCCAGCACTTGGGAGGCATCTCTGTGAGTTTGAGGCCAGCCTGGGCTACAGAGTGAGTTCCAGGAAAGGCACAAAGCTACGCAAAGAAACCCTGTCTCCAAAAACAAAAATAATAACAAACAAACAAAAAAAGAATGCGTGGAATTGGGCTGCATTTGACACTATTCAGGATCGTTCTAAATAAATGAAAACTTTCAGATTTTATTTCAAAGGTGGTCAGATTTCATGTCACTAAGCAAGAAATTTGGTATTGTGCCATAAAACAAATTTCCCTATGTATTTCGAAAATTCTATACAGTCATCCCTTGATAGCTGCAGATAGACTTCAAGACTGACAGAAGCCTGTTGTCAGGGAGAGAAGCACAGGAGAGCCATCCCAGACCCTGAAACCCACTTTCCTGTGAGACTTAGCAACACTGACTTTTTCCCCCATTCCCACAAGCGGTGGTCAAGCTCAGGGTGGACCCAGATGGTGCTGTACTACCCTCTGCTGGCTAATCTAGGTAGTGCAAGCTCTCCAACCAGCAATTAAAAGGCTTGCAGCACCCGGGCACATAATGGTGTGGCACAGCTAAAGGGACCAGTTTAGGGCCTGACTTGCAAGAAAGGCAGTTCAACGGAGCATCTCATTTGCATCTAATAAGCACCAGCATGCTGCTGTCACAGTTGAGCTTGTGGGTCTATTTGGGTCACTGGGATAAACACTGTCAAACATGTCACTGAATTTCTCCGCATGCCACCAAAGATTAAGCCCCTCTCACCTGCACTGGCTCCTAGTTTTCATCTCTGTCCCACTTTGGTCATTGATTTTTGTCCACTGGAGCTCTCTCCTGCCACCTGACCTCAGTCTCCTCTACCCCCCATCCATTCCCAGTGCTGACAATAAGGAGACTTTCCTTCAGGAGAAGTGACACCAACTGGGTGTCTTCTCTCAGCAAGTCACACAGAATGAGGAATGTGGCTGGGCTTGCCACAACAGACCAATTCCTCCCATTTAGAACTCCAGGGTCCTGCCCTGCCTCAAGGCATCCTTTGGAGTTGGGCTTAGAACCGCATCCCCTGACGCCAAGTCACAACTGCTTATCATTTTGCAAATAGAAATGTAAAAATGTTACCAATGACACTCCAGAGTTTACCCCAGGAAACATGGTGTTTGTTCCCATGTCTCCATGATGAGGAAGCCCACTACTTCCCATGTCCCTTCTTCCTGTGCAGCCCACTTCCATAACAGTAATAACAATGTCACCCACCGGAAGTGAAGGGAATGATGGTGTGTGTCTTTGCCACAAATCCTAGTATTAACCAAATTCAACCTGTGCAAACATGTATGATTTGGCAATTCACCTCTTGTCTTAAGCCTGCTGCCTTAACTACTTGGAAAAAGCTTACATGGCTCAGAAAACGTGGAAAAGAATGTTCATGGTGGTAATGTCCTCCATAGCAATGCTGGGAGCAGCTGGTATGTGGCCAAGAGCAGATGTGTGCAGTTTGATGTCTGTAGGTGAATGTGGACTGCTTCCCACTTAATGTAAAATGATCTCTGACAATGAAACCAAATTGCTGTATTCACCATGATATAGAAATGTCAGAAACAGGCAAAACTAAAAGGATACCACATGGTGTGATTAAAACTAGAGGCCAGACAGCCCAGCAGAGATGGAGAAAACATATCTGAGAATCTCCTTTGTGGGGAAGGTGGGCTGCACTTGGGAGGGTCTGGAACTTCTAGAACACCAGAGGAGTTCTGTTTTTCACATCAGTATTTGTACACGTGAGCTCCTGTTTTACTGTTTTTATACATAGTTATGTGGTCATCATAAACAAGCCTCTGGCAGATGTACATAATAGCTAATGAGATGTCACCTGACTAATCACAACCCTGAGTAGTTCAAGCTGTGTTTTTAAAATGAGCGCTGCAGAGTCAGCAAGCATCATGGAGGTGCCCGTTTTCATTAAGTATTTTCCAGTTACTAGGTGCAACTGTGCAGACCAAGTGTTAATAAAAAGTAGTAACCAATATTGGCCTAGAACTTGTGGCTTGGAAGGTCCATGACCAATCCTGCCTCAGCCTCTCCCAATTTTCATTATACCCAAATGTCAGATGACACTGAGGCCTCAGATGGACAAAGTTTCAGTATTTGTATGAGGTTCAAACTGCTTTTCACATACTCAGGTACCCTCAAGAACCTGTCTGTGTGTGTGGTATGGGTAACCATGTACACAGGTACATACAGCTGTGCATACATGTGGAAATGTATTGTTATGATTGTTGTAATAAAAAGCTGAAAGGCCAATAGCTAGGAAGAGTTTAGGTGGGACTTCTGGGGACAGAGACGACTCTGGGAAGAAGAAAGGTGGAGTTGGCAGCCAGACACAGAGAGGAAACGGGACGTGCAAGATGGGCTAGAGTTGAAAGCTACATGGTATAATATAGATTAATAAAAATATGGGTTAATTTAAGTTATGAGAGCTAGCTAGGAATAAGCCTAAGCAATAGGCTGAGCTTTCATAATTAATAAGTCTTTGTCTCATTATTTGGAAACTGGCTAGTGGGACAGAGAAAGGCTCGCTACATATGGTGTCCAACATGGGGGCATGTATTTCCACATAGGATCTGAGAAAGTTTTTTTAAAAAGTTCCAAAAATGCAAGCATGGAGCCAGATACAGCTTCCCAGTCCTATTGTCTCTCAGGTGGGCTGTGGTGTACAGAGACAAGGCTTCTGGTGACTGTTTGTGGGCTGGAGCCAGCTGCCAGCACCATGCGCTAAATTGAGATGCACAGCAGCTGACATGGCAGTTTAAGATTTGTCTCACTCAATTAGAGAACGTGGTAGGCACACAATAAAGTCAGGTCCAGACCCAGAAAAACCTCGAAACAGATATACTGTGCTTAAAAATGTGCTTAGATGCTGAAGAAAGAAAAGAAAATTGGGTATAGACAGTCATAGAAGAATAAATAGTTTAAAAACAATTAAGTCTTTAAAGAGAGAGTAAAGTAATATGAAAGGAATAAGCCATATAAAGATGGGAAATACACAGGGTATCTAGTCCTGTATAGTGTTTTGTTGATTTTGATTTTTTTTTTTTTTTGCAGGAGAAACCTTTATTAACGTATGAGCCAAAAAATCAAACAAATGGTCCAATGAGCTTTTTTTTTTAATTTTTAAAATGCTAATGAACAAAAAACAATAGCTGTTTAGAAATATTGGACTACAGAAACTGCTAAACTGTAAAATTGTCTTGGCTTCAGAGTGGAAGTTGTTACGGGAGAGGTTATGGTTTTGTTTCCATAGGAAATGAAATGCTATGGATTCCTTTAAAGTTAATCATGATTAGATTTGATTGGGGGAGACTTCCTGAAAATCTTGGCTACAGACATAAAAAAAAGACTACAGAACAGGTAATGTATATGCTGACCCCTCTACTATGGGAACAGCTCTGAGACTGGATGAGACATGAAAAATCTTGTTGGCTATGGAGTCCTCATGACTTATTATAGCATGCTATTCTTTCATATGACATGGATAGAGGTTTGGTTATACAGTCCAAACAAACTTATAAAGTTAACAGATTCATTTTACCTGCTCAAACATAAAACAAAAAATCTTTAACTGACTCGTGCACACCACACATTCCATACTTGTGTTAATACAGATATGTTTGTTACCTTTAAAAGTTTGTGTTTTCAGAAAAAAAGGACCAGATACCAATGAAGACAAGTAGCCTAGATGATCCAGCCTCTCAGAACGCCTCTGTTACAGTTTCCTCAAAATTCTGCATCCAAAACAACTTCAAAGTTGCTAGTTGAAATGGTCCAGCTGTTAGTTAATTGGCTGCTTTGTGTTCTTACCCTGCAAGGAAATGTCATGAAACACGATAGAATCTGCTAATAAGAGTTTTATTAAAGATAAAGGGACAGAGAGTGCGCAGGCCTGTGGGAGAGACACGTGTGTGGAGAAGAAGAAGGAACCGGGAACATGGCGCCGGATTTCAGAGTTGTGGGAGCTCACAGTGGGCCATCATGACTTTGCCATGCTTGTGGAGTCAGGATGTGGGCACCAGGAAGTTGTCTGAATCCTCACATGAAAGTCAGAGAGGGTACAGATGTAGACAGTGGCTATGTATGTGTATGAAGTAATGAACAATTTTTAGGACTGTAAGAGGCTTTGGTGGGAACAGAGTTGGATGACTGGGAGGTGTCCTTCCAAAGTCAATACAGGACTCTTTCTGAAGTATCCTGGTTTTCTGTGGTGTCCTGTGACAACTATGGGAGGGCCAAACAGTTGGAGGGCCCCAGGAGCAAGATCTTTACCTCACGCCATCTCTTCTTCCTTAGGATTTCCTACAGGTGGACCTAGTGAAGTGCAGGGAGGGCTCAGGCGGGTGGGGCGGGGGTGAGGGCTTGAACTTATAAGTTCTTCCTCAGAGAACTGTTTTCTGTGCGACCTGTCCTGGCCCCTGTTGTCCTCCTGGGCCTGTGCTCCTCTGACACCTCTCACTGGCTTCTAAAGGACAGATCCCTGGGCTCCTGCCATCAGCTTGCTAGAAGCAGACTGGTGCCATCTTCTTAGGTGTCCCCTGGTTGTGGTTCCTTTGTCACACCACTGAGGATGCTCTGTGCCAAACAAGGTTCCTACAGGGACAGAATCCAGAGCAGCACGCCTCTGGAGAGGCATCTAGTGCTTGAGAGGGGTGGGGGTGTCCAGAGGGGGCCAGCCAGGGCTGGGAATTTCATGTGTCATCCAGAGAGTCAGCTGGGAAAGAGGCACTCAGAAGAGGCAGTGACGGAAGACATGAGGGGACACATGTCACTGGCTGTCACTTTGTGATACTGGGTAGTATGGTGGTAGGTGAGAATGCCCAGGGGGTAGCGTGGCATGAAAGGGATAACTGTTCCTCCCGGGGTCTCTTGCTGGGTCCCCCAAAGGGTG